GTATAATGTACAAGGATATGAATTATTCTTATGAAATATGAATTATATACGCAATTAAAATATTATTTTAAAAAAACCCAAGTGGGCTAGTAACTGTTGTGAGCTTATTTGCCAGGCTCGATCTATGTGAAGAAGAAGAACACCTTCGAGACAGCTCAGCATCCTCTCGGGAGAAATTCACGGGCCCGCCTTGTCTACCGGATAGGGAAAAGAATCCCCCATGTTTGTGGAGAGCTGAAGTCCTAGTAGTTCAGTACCAAAGTACAGTGAAGGTCACTGGTATTCGATTGAGGGCAAGTGGGACATCAGCAAACACCTGAGAGGCCAATGGAATGCTTGCTGAGATGCAACAGGTGTGGCCGTGTCTGCCACAGAAACAGGCCTGTTGATCTTGGCCAGGCTGTCAAAAGAGGAAGCCTATCCAGCAACTGGGGCCGCACTGCATAACCTGAAGGATGAGACCACCTTCTCCAAAGTGTCTTGTCAGAAGACTGACCCGTGACACCCAGCAGTGGTGTCTGGAGACCATGTGAAGACAGTGAGAACACACAGAGACGTTGCAGTGACTGAACTCAGCACCCTCTTCCCTTGAGGGCTGTCTGAGCTGAACCATTTCCCAGAGGCATCGCAACGGCATGCATTTCTGAAACAATAATCGCGTATCAAATACCACTGCGAGAGCTTTCCTATACCCTGAAAACCCCTATTTTTCCCTAGCCCCCCCCCCTTCAAACACAAAGTCTCCTGCTTCAGGTTGCTCAGCACTGCAAAACAACAAGCACACACATAAATCCACCCCCAGACTTGCCTTGTGGTAGCCGGGGGTTAGCCACATACGGCCATGGCTGGCGCCACACTGTCATACCCCCACTGCACATTTCTGCAGCGCTGAGAATGGCTGCTGACATCCCAAGTCATGTGCATCCTATGGAAACGTGGCAGCTAGAACTAGCGTGCCAGCAAGGGGGGGGGCGCAGGGGGAAGGCTTGCTGAGTTTGTAATTTGAGCGACGCTGCCGTATGGATGCCTCTGAACTAAATATATGTTACTCTTCTTAATTGGGTGGCCTTTGTACGATTGTAAACAGACTGCCCTGGGCTTCTGAGAAAGGTCAACAGAACATCTTTAAAAATGCAGAAATATCCAACCGGCTTCTTCTTCGAAATAAATTCGATCGCTTTCCTAAACGGTTCTTTTCTTTGTCGCCCGGTTCTTACTTTTAAGACCTATCTCTCCCTCCCTGGTGAAGCGTTCAGGCGAAATCCAGTGCTACAATTTAAAACAGCTGCCTTTTTCTCCCCCCCCCCCAAGGAGTGGGGAATGGTTTTTCAATCTCACTGCTGCTGCTGCGTCTGGCAGAACTCTCATCTGAATTCCAAAGCATCAAGGATTCTGTTTCAGTCCTCTGACATCTGGATTTCACATCGCTTCCAAAAAACCATCTTAAGGCGATGGTGCCAGGCTCTTCGACTGTGGCTGCCCTCGCTTGCCACGTTTGGTCTTGCTTCTGGTTTGCCCGGCCAGTGCGAGGAGAACGTTTAAAACACTGGGAAAAGGATAAACTAATTCTGCCTTTACTGAATGTAGATCTTAGGAAAGGTCCAATAATCCCTCGCAAG